GCCAAATGCACCAGCACTCACATATGCCCAAGACCCCGGAAGCATACCTAACCAACTGCAATACAAAGTGGATATACTCTATATTAGGACAAAGTTTTGCCAGCAATACCGGGATAGAAAATGACTTGGTTACATGTACCAACCAAAATTTCATACAACATATTCACATAGTGAATTCTAAAGCTTGAAAGTAATGAGTACATTTTTCGGTATCAGTTCAAGTGACAATTTAGTTCAAGTTTATTGTGCTTTGTATATATACACATTTTGATCCAAATGAAAAGGAACAATCTCCTCAAATAATCATATACCCAAGAAAGCAATAATAGAAAATGAGCCTGACCTTCCCAACACATATGGTACGAATTTGACAGACGTAAGCCCATATAAATAATTTCCAAGAGAAAATGGAAGTAATGGACTCAAACGGAGAAGAGTAACAACTCTGAAACCATTTTCCCCAATAGCTTTGTCTATTGCAAGGAATTTCTTGTTACCCTCAACCAGCTTAAGAATACGCTCACGAGCAAAATATCTGGCAACTAGAAATGCAACACTGGCTGCAACCTGAAAGGGAGGAGGACACACAGATTCAAGTATCCAGGGATATATGTTACCCTTCCTTAATACTTGCAAATCGTAGAATTACCGTCCCACTGATAGAGACAATGATAGTTCCAGTAACTGAGCCAAACAGAAGACCAGCTGACATAGTCAATGGGATGGCTGGTATTGCAAGTATCTAAAGCAAACAATAATTTTGCATTAGCACAGGATGGATACTACGCTCTAACAAAGTAAGATTGAGAAATGAGAAAAGTGAAAAATAGAAACTCGGGTTCTGGAATATGTTTGGCTATGCCTAAGGAAAGCGAAGTTTCTTTTAATCGACATTTTGTTTCCAAACATGTTTGGATAACTTATAAAAAACTTAAGGTTCCATCTTAAAAGGTCAACCTTATTAAGAGGAGTTGTCTAAACCCTTATAAATTGGTCTGCATTTTCATCTTTATTCGATGTGGAATTTTATCCATTATCATGCCCCCTCAAGATGGTGGCTCATTTGAGCAAATCAATTTTGAAATCCGCATGTTCATTTTTTGAGACTTAATCGGATCGAATTGCAAGTTGGAGATTAATAGACTCCGATATCATATTAAAACTTGGGATTCAATCTTAAAATGTAAACCTTATTAAAAGGAGTAGTCCAAACCCTTATAAATTGGTCTATATTTTTATCTTTATTCGACGTGGGATTCTATCCCTTGACACTTTTAAATGGAAATAACTCTTACATTACCCTCAAAATAAGCAACTTTTTACTTGAATGAAATTTTTAAGCTTAGCCAAACATGCACTTAGTATCTAACTATTATATTATGACATGTAAATGCCTGATTAAACCATTCATAATTTCCTATTTCAGTATATTAAGAATGTTCTCTGATCTAATATCAGTTATTGTAATTTCAAGCTAAATCCAGTAATCCCAAACATTTAAAAATATATCATCACTCTTAACTAGAAAGTTCTCAGTTTTGGACATAAGTACTCGACAATTGCATGAAGTGCATTTGAGGAGACAAAAAAATGTATGGAGCTTTAATGACTAAATGTTCTCAAGAAAGAAACTTTGCTTCTTACTTCTAATCCAGCATAGACTGCACCAAAAAGAGCATATCCAGCTGGCCCATACCCTGAAAATAATCAAATGCCTGTCAAATAGCCACCGTTACAGTGTTGAAGTGTGTCTGGGTTCTGAATAGCTCAGCACCGCCATTTTGTCAAAAGAGAATGCAGAAAAATATAAGATTCGACGATTATTCTATCAATGTCATATTACACGTGAAGATAGAGCAAACCCCTATCCTCATACAAATTTTAAATCTTGAAATGGAAGACAATCCCTCAACAACTGAGGATAAATAAATAAATAATCAAAGCACATAAAAGCCATTTGGCATTTTTTAGCAGTTGGATACATAATTGTAATGAGCTAGTGGGCCACAAGTTTGTAATATTTATAACAAATACATTTCACTCCATTAAGCATTCACCGGGAAACACATTAGAAGCAATTGGAATCAGAAAGTGGATATGAATGTTCAATGTTTTTACTGACAGATAAGCAGCATATGGAGACCCATAGGTAACAACACTTAAATTATTAAGGACAAAGAGAACATAAATTACCCAAAAGGAATATGTTAAGATCTCGGCTAGAAGGACACAAGAGAAAAAGGAAATTGGGGAAGGAAGAATTGTTGTATGCATAAGTAAATGTACATAGGAATGGAGTATAAAACATGGTGTAGGTGTGCATACAAAGTGTAGTTAGAGCTGTGTAGTATATACACATTGATGTAGAAGGATATATAATATAACAAGAAAAATGTGTAAGTGTGATGTATTATAGGACCCTTCCATATGCTACAAAAACAATTATTTGTAACACTCCCATATATACATAGAATTTAGTTGCTTGTACAGGGGTGTTTTGACAAAGGCTGAGTTGATTTGAATAAATGAAATTTAAATCAAGGGATAAGGTACATACCACCGCATCTGTCAAAGAATTTGTCAAGGAAACTGTACAAGTAGCATGGTTGATATTCATAACCTCTTCAATAATTTCGCTCACATCATATCATAATACTTAACATCTCGTAACTGTTTGTTATCCAATTGTGATCTCTTATCAAACAATGTCGGATTCATCATCATGTTACGTTGCAAACTTACTCCTAAGTTCCTTAGTTTGTTGAAGATAATTTTCATAACTACTTTTCATACTAACAGAACTTACTTTCTAGAAGTAAGTCTTAACTAACTTTCAGAAAAGGTAATTTTAAGCACATCCAAACAAGATCCATATTTCAAACCATAATGTTGAACCCAGAAAAATATACTATTTTGGACCTGAATTGCGAGAAATAGAGAAAACTAGCAACGGATTTCCCACAATAATTTGCAAAAATTAACAAATTTGTAATGGTTGTTTTGGAATTTACCTTCAATGAACCCTGAAAACTGGGTCAGGAAAGCATTGATTTGATCCTTATAAATATAACCCAAAGAACCAAATCCTCCAACCGCACCCAAAAGCATAAGACCAGCCAAGATGGTTCCTTTAACTGCAGTACCGCTCCCTTCATCACCCCCACCGCCACCACCACTGGTTTCACCATCAGTCCCTTCGTCATTTCCCCCTTTTGGGTTGAAATTCAATAGCCTCCTCAGGCTCTGGGGTGCATTATCGGGAGCCTTCTGTTTCTTAATTTCTCTTAATGAAGATAGTGGTTTCAAGAAGTGGAATTTCTTGGGCTTGAAATTAAAGTGTGAGAATTGGAGATTTGGTATGGGGGAGGAGGCGGCGGCGGAGAGGCTGATGCAGAGTGGAGTTTGTGGTGGTGTTCTAGTCAGAAGAATGGTGGGCATGATTGTTTTTTATTTTCGTTTTTATTTTGCCTTTTCTTGTTGGTAATTTTTAGTGTTTTTTGAGGTTGTTCGTTGCCATAAGGTTGCAGAATCTACTTCTGTAGGTTCCGGAAAATATTTGAATTTCACATGAAATTTTGTGTTTGATATTGCAGCACGTATTCCCTTTCTTTCTAATTTATAATTCTCACTATTTCACGTCTTTTAACATTTTTATTATAACCTTCATTTCATATTTCCATTTTTACATGATTTCTACGTGAAGGATCAATTACATTATAATTGGATATAAGGGGGTATCTAAAGGTGCTGCTTTGATAGCACATATGTTCCCGATTTTTATTTTTTTCTATTATTATCCAACTGTATTACGCCACATATCTTGAATGTCCTTCCCATATACACCAAGTACAATCCATAAATACAATATAATTGTCAACTTAATCCATATTTGATTTAACTAAAATAATAATAATAATTTAAATCAAAATTAAAAATTGATTTTAATCCACGTTTCATAAAACCCACAACTTTTTTCCTTTTCAAATACACATTCCTTCAATTCTACCAAAATTCATTAAGAATTTGATTTTAAGCAAAATCAAATAGGGGCTAAACAAATTTTGTTACTTTGGAAGGCGATAGGTCAAACAAGGTAATAAAGTGATGAAATTTGAAATAAAAGTAAAATTCAGTGATTATAATTAAAATTTAGTAACTCAGTTGAGATTTCACTGAAAGTTCAATGACTGCAAATGAAATTTTACCCTTCTAAGTTGGAATGTTTTCATTGAAAAAGTAAAGTGTAAAGAAACCGAAATATAAACCCCATGGTGCTCACTTGGACCGAGCCAAACCTACCTTTACAGGTGCCTGGACTGTCATCACGATCGAGCCAGACTTTAATATCTTGGGTTTATCTACATTGCCTAGGCCACATGAGCCCCCGACAATATAGCAATGCAAGGTTCTCATATCTTTTAATGAATCATGTCGCGTGATACAATCATAAATGACAACTTTTGTTGACATCATTACATCTAACTATTTTTAACATTGTCAAAAACTGTTTTTTAAATCATTATTCTGAATTTTGCCGCCTCCAACATTGTCAACAACTTTTGTCAACCAACATTTTACAAACAGCTTAATTCTATTTTAATATCCCAGACCAAGTCGAGCATCACGCTTTTTGCATCAATAGACAGATAATACAGATCATGCCAGGATGAATACTAAATCGAGCACACAAAAGAACCCACTACAAGTACATGGATAGGCCAGGATAACTACACAGTTAAACAATAAATAGCACAAGATATGAAAACAATAGCTCGAGAAGAAACTCTTCCGTGTGTTTATATTCGTTTTACAAATACATGCTGGTGGCAAGCACTCCTCATCTCTAAATATCAGCTATTATGTGTATCGTTACTGTTCTCACAAAGATGTGACGAACAAGAAGCCGACTACCATGTGAAGTTTCTTTTGAGAGGCATCAAATCCAATTGCGGTTTCTTTGTTGAAGATGCAACTCTGAGCACTTGATGGTTGAGATTTGCTAGCATAACTTCGGGGGAGAGATTCTGGCCTTTCAAGGTGGAGCTTGCAACAGCATTGATCTGTAAAAGAGCAGATGAACATGTTGGAGAAAACTTTCAGGAAAAAGAAAAATTCCAAACAGCAAACACTTTCATGACGCAAAATGGAAGGTAGGAAAAGCAGGTACAGTAATTACAACATGCAACATCGTGGAAGTTGTGAGAATGCCAATTGTTCCAGTAGACTCCGCAAGTTTGTGTTTTCGACATTTGATGTAATATTATATTTTGGTTTTGCCATTCTTTAAAGAACAGTTAAATTGGATCACCCCACAGTGACCAACACATGTTGACATTAAAATTACCCATCTAATCCATGTCTTCCCTCTATTCAGTGAAGGGTCCTCCCTACAAAAGCAAAGGTAAAGTATCGGACTTGGATCACTTAATTTTTTCTCACAACTCGTCAATTCAAACTAGCTTATTAGATCCTACATCTACACTTCCATTCATACTGGAAAGCCATTCACATTTATATCAATGGAGAACACTACTGTTGCTCTTTTGTGACCAGCATACACTCACAAGTTCTCATGAGATCCAGCCTATCCAGTAAATTAGCTAACATCACCTCCACATTTTTGCCCAAGGTCTACTTAAAGAGAGAAAATTACTTAAAAAGCAGAAAGAAGAAAAAAAAAATTAAATAAGCAGATAATTTCATTTCCCAGTACCTTTTTGAACTCTTTCCACATTCTAGTCTAACCAAATTTATGCACTCTGACTCCTCTAAATGCACAGATACCTATGCTGTACACCTTATACTCAAACAAGAGTATAAGACACTTGAATAGCTTGTGATGTTTTGCATAGAGAATAAATTGACACACTTGCAATTGACATTTTATAAATTAAATTACAGATAATTAATAAAATTCTAGGACACCACCACTGTTCTATGTCCCAAAATTATACTCGATGATTATTACTTTCTGAAAGAAGTCTATTATAATATTAATAATAATAGGGAATCCCCAATATATGTATTGCAGTATTATATGCACACAGAGGTTATAATATAGGTTTACAGTAGTCAGTAAGTTCATTATATAAATTTCACAAGGATTGTAACACCACATACAAGATATTATTTCTAATTACAAATTTGAGCTTCAGATAGAAACCTTAACAGACAAAACTGAAGACATAAGTATCTTTCGCAAAGCCCAAATCACAGCTTCTTGAGTTCAATAGAATATTAGGAGGTTCTTTTAAGATATAAGTTGAGTGTAAGTGTGCCGTGACATATACACACATTAAGAGCTATGTCCATAAATACATAAAATAACAAGCTGTATTGTAGAGGATGGAAATAAATTATTAGGACAATATACATATTCCATTGAACTAAAAATTCACAGTTTCAGAAGATTGAGAAAAAGCCAAAAAGTAAAACTTTTTTAATTTAGCCTCTGTTTGAAACCATTTATAAATGCCACCTCACCCTTTCTTTATTTCAAACGGACAAACACATGCATTGCTGTTGAGTGCCCACTTGTTGCTTTTTTAGAAGACCATTTTTGCCCCCTTATCCACGTAGGTGAGTTTACATAATTACTACCCAAAGCAAAATATTGTTATATAAAAAATGGAACCAAGTTTGAAAATTGAAGGCACTCGATGACATAGGAAAAACTAGGTGGCACCTCATGTTCAACCACGACAAAATTTATTAATCGATTATAAATTGTATGTTTCGAAACAGAGGCTTACTAAATTAACAGTTAAATCATAAGAAATTGCTTGTACCGATTGTGAAGCTGATAAAACCGTCTTCAGCAATCCTTTTGCAAGGGGTAAGATGCAGAACCTTAAAAAACCACAAATTTGATAGGTCAGAGAGTTGTAAGAAAAATAGAAACAAAAAATAAACTTAATTTTTGTAGAGTTTAGCACAAAAGAAATTATATTATATTAAAAACTCTTGTACAATTTCTTTTATGGCATATACAGACAAACACTTTCAGTCAGGCAACTCTGTAACTCACTCATGATCTCTCTCATTCCCCAAATACAAGCATCAATCTCCTATTCAAAGGAGTTAAAGTCAGCGACTCATCCCTCTCTAGATTCATCCAGTTTGGTAGTGGTGAAACAAAAAACATGAAGCATTAGATGCTTCTTGGCATGTCAGCAATTGTGAAAGGTCTAGAAATCAGAAAAATATATAAAGGAAAGAGAGAGGAGAGAAACAGCAGGCAGAAAACCAGAAAAGTATTGAGTCCTTGATTGGTGTTCCGTGATGATCTTCAATTCTCCTTCAGCATCGACTTATTAGTTTAACCTTTCTCTATTCATTCCTAATTATGTTCGAAACTCTGTAAATCTGGAAGCATTGAGTTCTTTGGTAAATACATCTGCTACTTGTTCCTGTGTGTTTATATGTTTCGTCTCAATCTCCTTTTCAAGCACTCACTCTATAATAAAGTGATAGTGTATTTGACATGCTTAGTTCTTGCAGGTACACTAGGTGCTCTGCTATGCAAATGGTTGATGTATTGTCTCTGCTTCTGCTCTTGGCGAGGACATTGTAGGTTGTTTTAAAGCAAAGATCATGATGAAGCACATTAACACTAAAAATAAGTGGATATGTTGACCAAACGACTTTTTTCTAAATTCAGTGTTTAGGACAGAAGGAATGACTAAAAGAGATGAGTTAAGCCAAAGAGTGCACTCAGGGAAGAATAGAAGATAATCACCAACTTTGCCTCTAGATTGATCTCTCCCCTTCTCTTTATTATACTTCTCCAATACTAGATTATTACACAACCGCCCATGTACCAACCACTGAATGCTTTATATTTTTGTTTCTTTACCACCAAGCTAGATCTTGCTAGCTACTACTTTTACTTCCATACTAGATGGATCTAGAACTGAATAAGTATGTTGATACACCGACTATAGCACCTAAAAAATCACATTAGTGCTTCTTGTAAGATGAATGAGAGCGATAAAACCACCGAGGTGCTTAAAATCTAATTTTACAACTGTTTTGACTATAATAAAATACAATTGCCTTTTTGTCATAAACTCAACACTAGCTTTACCATAATTAAATTCACAAAAATTACTTCTATGAAAAGTAGGTCTAGCTTAATTTCAAAAACGTAAATTTTTAAGCACGTCAAAACATGCTGGATTTTCAAACATAATCAGTAAAATTCATATAGAAAATATAGACATTTACATTCCACGTCCACCAGATAAGGCTTCTTCTGATGGGTCTTTCCATTCATCCAACCTACCAAAAAAATAATAATAAATTATAAATATAACAAATACATACAAATATCTACTCACACATAGAGACACTTACACCCAACCGTAGCGGCGATCGAAAAGGAGGCGTTTTGAAGGTGCGGCGGCGGCGGGGGAGGAGGAATTCGCTGTGGCGCTCTGCATTTTTTCCGAAGCTAGCAAAAATGGCAGTCCGAGATTCCGATTTTGATTTGTAAAGTGGGCCGGTTCGGCCCATTAAGCCGTAAGGAGTTTAGTAAAGGGAAATTGCATCATTAATCTCCAACATATTGAATTTATGTCCATTTGTCCTCAGACTATATTATTTGACAATTTGGATTTTAGTGACGCGTTAGTCCCTCACGCATATTTTCTTTTAATAAGTCGATAGTGATTTATTAAGCTGACATAGAAGGGTAAAATTGTCAACACACTTTTATAACACACATCCCTCATTACATTAAACCTTATTTTTCATTTCAAGACGATAAAAGTAGAATTGAATTCCAACACATAAGAAGATTTCCTGAAAATAAATATTTTCTTGTATGTCAAAGACGAGTGAGCTTTAAGCTTTTGCTTTTACATTTGCTTTTTATTTTGATTTTTGACTGAAATCAATTATGAAAAAATTAAATAAATAAAGGAAAACAAGCATTTTACTTCTGCCTATAAAGAGAGGTTGAGGAAAATGTGATTGCAACGAGGAAATGATCATATTAGTGTAATTGTGAGTTTTCTTCCTCAATAATGTCTTTAGTTTAAGCGGACTAAAGATGACATCAATGTGTATAGTTCTCTGTACATAATATATCTCGATTATTTCCTCCCCCCCTCTCTCTCTCTC